ATCCGTATCTATAGACTTTGATTCATATAGCATGAAAAAAGAGGGAGTATTTGTTTCTGTATTCATACAATGAATTGGGAAAATAATCACCTTAAAAATAAGAAAGGGGTTCATCAACACTACGTACATAATGTATGTGGTAAATGCGTTGTGTAACAAGTAAAAAGAAATCTGTAATACACCAGGTGGTGTTTATTTTCTACGTACTTGATACGCAAGGAGCAGATGGAAATTTAAAGAAGGTGTTATTGCCACCCCTCCCCCTCTTCCTCACCTGAGATGCAATGTATTACCGGAAATTTCTCCAGCCACTACCGAAATTATTCATATAACATGCGCAGATCTGGGGGGGGGGGGAGTCGGGGGGACCCCCCCATCTGGAATTTGCAGAGTTATTAAAAGTATATACTGAAGTAATGACTTTGGGCCCCCTTAGAAAACGTGGACCCTACCATCACCACCACGAAATAGGTGTTTTTCACGTTTTGGAAATGGAAATGGAATTGGATTTTACGTTTTTTTTTTCTTCCTTGACAAGAAATTTTTGGGTTAGAAATTTTTTTGACTGGGATGCCCCCCCCCCTGGAAAAATTCTTGATCCGCGCCTGTATAATCATTATTCAAAATTGTTAGGTAATATCCGAAACAACATATGTGCAATGTATAGCATTTATGAAAATCGAACTTCAAATATTCTGTCATGACTACATGAGACCGATTGTATTATTTCCTCCATGGTTACCACGGAGAATGACTAAGGACTTCGAAAAGGATAATTTAAGGAGATTGGCAAAGTTCCCAGCTTTCGCAAAGAATTTTTCAAAAACTCTTGAGCAGGTGTAGTGGTACTAAACAATACACTTTATTGGTTTTCACCGCGTAGAAAATTCTACACGGGAGATCACTCTCAATCAAGCTCCAGACAGCTCAGTATTACTCCATATCATTATTCGTAGGGAAAGAAGTCCCGGAGAGTATGGAGTATGACTCTCAGTCATACTCCATACAGTGTCAATATTTAATTCTCCGGGACTACTTGGTATGGAGTTGTAGCGTAACGTAATACTGAGCTGTCTGCAGCTTTGACTCTCATGATGGAAAACCCCATGAATTACCTTTTCTCTCCGGATAACCGTGAGTTGCCACTTTCCATAAATGAATAAAATAAATAATCATAAATAATCAGCGTTTTATAAAAGAAATATATTTTTGATTTAAAATTAGACTGAAACGCTTCTAGTCGATATCACGAAAATGTACATATCATGTAGCTTGAAATGGGAAATATGACGCACGCTTGACAACGTCCCCAGAAACAATCAGTCAGTATATTTCTGGGTGCATTTGGGGGGGGGGGGGGGTTATAGCACAAATTAATGTAGAAAATAGAAATTCCTTGATACGCAAAAAAAAAAAGGGAAGAGGATCAACTGATGTTCCCTCCCCCTTCCCCCGTTCATACAGACGTGAGATACATAAATGACTTGTATATAGAACTGGACATTCAACTTTGCCCAAAATTCTTCATGTCGGTAAAAAAAGAAAATATTTTACAATAATGATTTCAAATTTTAATCGGTCATGCAATACAGCCTGCTGGATTATCCCACAGTCTGTCTATTATAGTCACAGTAAAATGTGTAATTTCTTTTTCATTCTTTTTCTTTTGGCAAAAAAAAAAAAAAAAAAAAAAATACAAAAAAATACAAAAATGAAATATTATTTCATATGTAGTTCATTATGACGAGGAAGAGTGATATTTTTATAAGAAAGAATTAAATCCAAACCATGATTATACTTTAAATCTGATGTGTATATTTTAATATTGAATTACCTGTTTTAAGCTTTAACATTACATGTATTTTGTTTCTGCAGTAAATACAGATCGAATACAACATTAGGCTATATATTACCCTATCCACAAATAAAGGGCAAAATATTATTATAAACTGAAAACAAGTTAATTGTTAAAACTAAAGGGAAACATATACATACTTTTATTTTTTATCGGTCTTAGTATTAAACTCTACACTTGGAATAAGAAATTTCTTTAAATATTGTAATAAAAATAGACTAAATATAATTAAATAATTATATCACATTTTTGATGTGTACGCATGAATATCATAATAGTATTATAATTTGTTCTTCAGCATAATGTATTAAAATAGAGAATTCATATCTATTGATTTAAAGCAAACACATGACCATTACATTGTCATTGCTCTCTGCCGCGGGCTCTACCTGCGGGTACCTGTCAGGTATACGAATACTTCACACCCCCATTGTTTTATTGCCTATACACACCGGCAGATTTCACACCTTTAATCGTCCTAATTTACACAAAGCAAATGCTGGGGGAAAACAAACACAAGCCCAATAAATGCGACATTTTATTTTTAAGTCATTGCCCTAAACGGTATTGCTAAAAGCACACTAAACATGGAGTACCCCGGTAGCAATTCCTGCCCTAAGAGATATGTTGTACAAAAAAATTAACACAACAGCTAGGGTAAATCCTTAATCTTTCTTCATATGATGTAAACAAACTCCCTTTAATTTTATGTGTTTAAGTCAAGATTAAAACATTTTGCACCACCCGGACCTTTAAACTTCGGCGGACCTTTTCTTATACGGCCGGACCTTTTCTTATAAAAGGCGGACCTTATATGTTATCGTATTAGGTCCCCCCGGACCTTTAAACGAGGCGGACCAAATATTATGCGACACCGGACACTCTTTGATGAGAAAAGCTCACTTGAGCCTTCGGCTCAGGTGAGCTAAAACAAGGCAATTCTAGCTGCACGAACATAAAAAAAGCTTTTGTGTGAATTGTCATTGAAATAATGATAAATCGTTGATAACACTGTAAGTTGTGAATATATTTATATATCGAAAGACTATTACATTCCTAATAAATTTATCGGTAAAATTTGTATATATTCCTTACTGAGGGCATCGTGGCAGCGAACCCGAAGTACAATTTGTACATCGTAATAAACTTGCTTACATGAAAAGAGAAAATTAATGAATAAGGTATTGTTCAAATCCAATTAAAGCTGTAAAATTTTGTGCTTTATTCAACACATTTCAGTTTTTTTTCTGAATACAGTCTTTTGTATCAAATACTAGGCTTATTCATAGGGCTTTAAAAGCTAATTTTTACACAGGTACTTGTGTCTTGGTTTATAAATATGTATGTACCTTATTGATATGTAAAAAAGTGAAGTACATTTTTTACATATCAATAAGGTGCATACATATTTATAAACCAAGACCCAAGTCCTGTGAATTTTTACACCCCCCCCCCCCAAAATCAATTTATCAGTAAAATGTGCATATTTACTGCTTTCATCCTTGATGGAAATGAAATAAGAGCATCTGAAGTACAATATCCAAAACACAGTATAACAGGTTTCACAATAAAAGTCAATTAATGAAATTGTTATTTTTCAAGTTTTTACCAATGAAGGGGGGGGGGGGTACGTACATCTACTTCATGCGGGATTTTGAACTAAGTATTTCTTCCTGCTATAAGCCTGTAGGCTGTCAGTAGAAACTACAATATATTTTCTGTCGGTAGTGGTATAGATTCAATTCCCCGCGCTTGCGCGGGATTTCATCTAGTTCCTAAAGTTAGAGAGCGGAAACTAAAAATTTCTTCTTTTTTTTAAGTTCAAGAGGGATAACTCTGTCAAAAATCATTGGACCATAACCAAATTCGAACTTGACTTGTATTTTCTGGTAAAATACCTGCATAAATATGCAATTTCAACCTTATTTATACACCCCTACAAAGGTTGCAAAGCGAAAATTGAAAAATTTCTTATTTTTTCTAAGTTCAAGAGAGATAACTCTGTCAAAAATCCTCCAACCATGACCAAATTCAAACTTGACCGGAGGAATATTTGTCATTCACATTTTTCACATTAGGTTACTCACGTGATGTGACACATCTGTTCCGTAAAATATACAAATTTTCCTCATTTTTTCAGTTTTCTGAGATCTTAATTTTATTTCAAATTCTATAAAGAGTGCTAAAAATGACGTCGGAAAAGGGGGGGGGGGTATTTTCCCAAAATTTATAATAATAGTAGTGTCACTTTGGAAAACTCGCATAGACTGTGAAATGTTTGAACAGCGTTGAGAAAGTCAAAATGTGACAGCAAAAAAGATTTAGAAAAGGGAAAGACACATTCAATGGCGAGAAATTTATTTAGCATTTTTATGTTTCATTGTTGCCGGAAAGTCTTACACTTATTTTCCCCGGTAATACTACTATGCCATATACTTTTTGAACCAATGTAAGAAAAACTAGAGGTACTTACGCACTAATCTTACAAAATGATTATCCCTGCTCCCATGTATGAGCATAATGGCAAAGTCCATATTTTGCTATGGGATATCCCAAATATCTGCCCGATCTAAACGTAAAACACTACCAAGGAATCACTGACAGACCTAGTTTATCTAGTTGATCAGTAGAGGTACATAAAGAGTTGTTATGGATTTGGTTTACGTAGTGCTTATACCCTCAACCGATCCATACCTACATGTAAATCTTGTACTTGTATATAAGTGTAACAGAAAAGGAGAAAATGTATGGGTCGACAGGGAATCGAACCCGGGACCCCTGCATCACTAGTCAGGTGCTCTACCGACTGAGCTACCCAAGCCAATATCCATGGCCCAAACCATTACATTCCTCCCTCCTTAAATTGTCTTCACCCTCTAATGCACAACCCAAGTTCTTATTGCCCCTGGCAGGACTTTGACCTGCAAGTCCAGGGGTGGTCAACGGCACCAGATCTGTAACAGGAAAGGAGAAAATGTATGACTGGACCGGGAATCGAACCCGGGACCCCTGCATCACTAGTCAGGTGCTCTACCGACTGAGCTACCCAAACCACTACATAAGCATTTGATCAATCATCCCTGAAAAACCTTACATGTTGATTACGATGTATATTATGCAATCATTGATAACACTAAGAGCAATAGTAATTGTTATGTAGTTTTATTATTTTTCTTATGTATTATCACCTAACACTTTTCCAATTACATGCATAATTTGAACATTGTAATAGAAATATAACTGTAAATCACACTGTCATTTGCTTTTTCTTCCTGTCTAAGAATGGCTGAAGGAATTCTATGTATACTTTCTTCTGTATACTGGATACTGGTATAAAATGTCCACCAGAGTGTTTTAGAACACTTGGATTAACAAAGTACTGCAGCAAATCTTCACTCATTTCTGTCAAAAAATTGAAATAAGTAAACTAGAACTTCTTTAAAAGGACCAATATCCTGCAGGATAACCAGAAAAGGGGCTCATTTTACAATAGTTCTAAAAACTCAGACATTTTGTTAAAAAATACTGCAAATTCCCATGGCCTGAATCATGTGGAAATGTAAAAAGGGGATCAATATTGTAATACCTCTGATTGACAGCAAGAGTGTGTTCAGTACAAAATCCATCTATATCTCAAGACCCAAACAACATTTAACTTCTCAGTAATGTAATCATGACTTTATGCTATTCTACCAATATTTTGTTTTCTTTTAGAATTCTTTATTGCTGAGAAACTTCTTTTAACTCAGTGACGTTGTCAACTTGACCATGTCTAAATGACCATGGTGTAGGATTGTTATGCACAATCATATTTTGAGACTAGTATATTGCAGGTTTTTTCCTAAATCAAAGTGAGGACAAAAGCAAAAGTTTTCTATGCCTTAAGCAAATTAAAAAAAAAAAAAGCAAACAAAAAACATTACTCTGGGCTAAGTTCGGAACATACATGAACCCTACAGTCACAAGAACCCTATGTCTCAGGAACTGTGTAATATTTGTAATGTTTTTATCCCATTTCAAAGTAATAACTTGATACGTTTTTATCCTATGACATTGACCTTGTCCATAATGACCTTGGTACTGGGTCAGGGCACATTTTTGGTTCAAATGGCTTTTATTAATTCTACAAAGTTTGAAAAAAATCATATAACCTTAGAGATAACTTTCAGACCAAATAAATGTCAACAGACAGATGGACAGACAGTGATTCCTATAAAAAAAAATCCACATCTTATAAGTGTATTTGCCAAAAAAAGCAAATGAACTGCAATGCTAACACCCCTATTCTTACCCAAGAAGAAATTATGGTAGATGGATAGTTATCCATAATAATCATGCAACAGACTGCTAGATATTCAACTCTAAAGAAGAAATGAATGGAGGTATATAAGGTGAAAACAATCCCCATATTTCTCAATTTTAAAATTAAAGCTAATGGCAAACAAAGAACATTTTGATTTAGGTCTTTGTGGCAATATGTAGCCCTGAGATTTTGATCACGAGAATAATATTTAATTTTGATGCCCATGGGCTACAAAGCTTACCTGAATGAGAAGGGGTACTACTTTAAATATAATCCCAAAATGGTCAAGTGTAAATATTTCATTTTTTTAAGCAAACATAATGCTAGCATGATTTTTTCTATAATTTAGATGACATAATGATTTTTAATCTGCCATCTTGCCACTCAAATTTTGTTAAACAAAAGAAATATTGAAGGCTGGCACGTGATGTCAGTTTTTCAACGACAAAGCGTAACTCCAGTCCGAGGAATCAAAAACCTTTGATCTACCTCTTCAAACCGCACAAGACATTTGGAAGTTAGACTATGACATCACTTGACGTTGTATGAAAATTAGTTTCACTTCCATTAGTTTCACTTTGAGCTTCAATACTGTTCATTATCTCCATATTTCATTCTACAATGCAGTTTTTTTAACAAAAGGCATTGTAAAGTAGAGTAGATGCAATTATTTCCTTTAGGCTCTCTTTAAGAACATATTCTTCATAACTATGGTCATGTAATGCGATCTAAATTATGGAAATTATGGTACCAAAAGAACTCTGGCAAGCCTATGGAACTCGTTTTACTTGCTGTTGACTAATCAGATATTTGTTGTTCTTGAGAAGATTTTTATGAAGAATTTTTCTTATTATTCCAGTATTATGGTCCCGTCCTATCTGCAGGGGGCACGATTTGAACAATTTTAAATCTGCACTACCCGAAGATTTTTGCATGTGTACTTGACTGATAATGACCCGCAAAGTATTTATTGTGAAAACTTTGCTTTTTTCTGATATATTTTCTTGTAAAATTTTATCCCCTACTTTTTGTTCTTAAATTTAATTTCAGTTTATTTTTATCTTCCCCAAATGAAGTTTGAGAACAAATTGTTATTACTCTAGCTGCTTCTTCTTATTATTATCATTATTAGGGTCTACCGAGCTTCCTTCGGAAGACGCTACTGTTATTCTACTGTTTTTTATTATTTTATTCCCACAAATTTTGTGCAGGGGATTTCTCAGAGATTTTTTTTTGTCTGATTGTAATGAAACTTTCAGCTAGGGTAGCTACATTGTCTTAAAGCCTAAAATGAAAATGATTTCTTCAATTTTTTTAAATACACCTCTGCTTATGAGTTATTGTCCTTTAATTGATAATTGGGAAGTCTTGACTCCTTGATGTCCAGGAGCAACGAAGTAGATTTTTGAAAATTGTATTGATTTTTATGACTTTTGCTTAACCCTTAAGGCCCTCAGGGGGGAGGGACTATGAAATTCATAGTTTGTGCTCTAAACCAAATTTGAAATTGGTTAAATTGTTTATGAGGAGAAGTTTAAATTATTTAAAAGTTTGAGACTGACACACAAAAACGGACAAAAAGACATAGCAAAGGACTATATATATGAATTTATCATCAACAAGAGACCCATGGGCCACATTGCTCATCTGAGGATTTTGGTTAGAGAAAAAGTCCCCCTCCCTTCAAAGGGGCAGGGGTGGGAGCATAATTTGAAGGAACAAACTTACATCTACTCTAACTGACAATGCTTCTTTATATTCAAATTACTAATCATGGCTTTAAGATTTTTACATATTTTTTCATATTGCAGCTTTTTTAAGACTGTAAGCTTAGAAATATACTATTGTTTTTTAAACTGGGTTTTTTATGAACATTCAATTTCTGAAGAAAGTTTAATACGGTATTATAAAATTTTCTGTGATGTCACATATCTGTGTTGAACGCATGACAGACACATAATTTTTTCCAAATGTTGCACAAAACTCACAATGGGACAAGTGAAAAGAAACGTTAATGTGAATGGTTTGTTACATAAGTCAAACTATTCCTGGGCATACACAAAGTGCTGGGGGGCAACTCTGAATTTTATATTTTACATTTTATATTTTACAAGAATTTTTATAATATTTTATAAGATTTTTAAGAATTTTAATTTTATAAGAATGTTGTACTATTTTACAAGAAATTTAACTTACCTACATACAAGGGGACATTTTCCCCTCTTCATTACAATTTATACAAAATAGGATAAATTACATACAATCCCCCACCAAAATTCAGTTAGAGTACATAATTCTCAAGTAGATTCACTCAGAATATCTTCAATTTATCCTTATTAATCATTTGTGCCAGTCTAATTTATACACGATTTATAAATTCCAACTTTGTCCAAGGACATTTAAATGGGAGCATTTCACATTCATTTTTTTGGTTATTGTTTGAATACGTACATATCATAACCAGAAGTCTCTGACGAGACTGTAGCTCTACTGGTTGTACTTATAGAGGAAGATAAAAGTAGCACTTGGATTTGAAACTTTGCAACAGCAATAAATAGAATAATGATCCTTGGTTTAGTCTCTTTTTGTGGCAAGATTTATTGCAATCAGACTAAAACTGTAGGAGGAGTAGCCTTTTAAAACAATTCTACAGAAATTTGGATTTAAATAACCATGGCAACATCATTCAACAAAATCAAAAAACAATAACTACAATTATGTATCTCAGCGTATTCTACTTGTAATTGCCGAGTTATACTGAATTTAGACAAAAGTGTAGGAGGAGTAGCATTTTGAAAGTATTTCACAGAAATTTCTATTTTTAGTAACCATGGCAACACCATCCTTTTGAAATCAAAAACCGATACACAGAATTATGTATCTTATTATAGTCTACTTGTGTGCCAAGTTACATTGAAATCAGATCAAAACTGTAGGAGAGTAGCGTTTTGAAGGTTTTTCACAGAAATTTCTATTTTTAGTCACCATGGCAACATCATTCATTGAAATCAAAAACCGATAAACAGAATTATGTATCTTATTATAGTCTACTTGTGTGCCAAGTTATACTGAAATCGGACCAAAACTGTAGGAGGAGTAGCATTTTGAACGAATTTCACAGAAATATCTATTTTTAGTCACCATGGCAACATCATTCATTGAAATCAAAAACTGATAAACAGAATTATGTATCTTATTTTAGTCCTCTTGTGTGCCAAGTTATATTGAAATCAAATCAAAACTGTAGAAGGAGTAGCGTTTTGAAAGATTTTTCACAGAAATTTCTATTTTTAGTAACCATGGCAACACTGTTCATTAAAATCAAAAACAGATACAGAGAATTATGTATCTTATTATAGTCTACTTGTTTGCCAAGTTATATTGATATCAGACCAAAACTGTAGGAGGAGTAGCATTTTGAAAGTATTTCCCAGAAATCTCTATTTTTAGTAACCATGGCAACATCATTCATTGAAATCAAAATCCGATACACAGAATTATGTACCTTGGTGTAGTCTACTTGAGTGCCTAGTTATATTGAAATCAGATCAAAACTGTAGGAGGAGTAGCGTTTTGAAAAATTGTTTACAGATGGACAGACAGACAGACAGACACCTTACTATCGCATAAGCTCTTCTGGTCTCTGACCAGTAGAGCTAAAAACGAGGCCCATTGGCCACATTGCTCACCTGAGCAAATTGGCTAGGAAAATGAAGTTCAGTACTGAAAAGTTTACAGGGGGACAGGGGTACAAACTTAAATTTACACTACCTCAGAATGCTGCCATATCAATATTACTAATCATGGCTTTGCTGTTCTTGAGCAAAAAATTTTAAAGATTTGTTTCCTGTTGTAAAACTCATTGTGGTCCCACCTTACCCACCCTAAATTTGAACAAATTTGAATCTGTGCTATCTGAGGATGCCTCTTTAATAATATGAATAATCATGCCTTTGCTGTTCTTGAGCAGAAGATTTTTTTTAAGATGGTTCCTATATATTCTTATGTAAAAAAAACTTTGACCCTCTGTTGTGCCCCCCCCCCTTCAACCCCTGGGGTCATAGTTTGATCAAACAGGATTCTACAATACCTAAGGTTG